CACTTGGAAGTGGTGATTAATAAGTAGAAAACTAAAACAAGCTAAACATACTCATTAGCAGACATTATTTATTATTATTAATAAACTTATATATCAGAATGATTTAATTCTCATAAATAGCTGATTGCATTGATTTTTTAAAGCAAATGATGTAAAACTCTAAGATAATTTATGTAATTAGTGAATATAAGTAAACCACTTCCCTGCCATTCAAAAAGAAATAAACAGGTTAACATTAAATCTAGAGGATGAGAGCTAGAATAATAAATAATTAAAATAAATGTGTAGACTATTAATTTACTGTGTTTTGCACTACAATTATATGACTACCTAAAAATTTTTATATGCTTGAATTGGTCATTGATAATCTCATTTGTCTAACCCCAAAGTGTGAAACATCATGATTGCACTCATACCTGACTGAATATAAAAATAAGTAACATGCAATACGAGTACCTATGCCTCTTACAGCAGTGTTTTATTGGTTCTCATTATCAACATGTCTTGTCCTCATTCCCTTACCTGTAATATTTCAGGGGTTTAACTGGATGTCTCTTAACCTTTAGAATTCTAACATGATATAACTCTGCAGTTTGACTCAAGTAATACATTACCTTCTTTACCCTAACAGGTTATATGGAGATATGATGGCAAAAAACCAGATACCTTAGGGCCAAATACCCGGCTCTATAAATGGATCCCCCAGAATGACCTTCTTGGTAAGATTCTGGAAAACCCTGAAATCAGAATCAAGTCAACCAGAATGATAAACAGTTCACTAGGATAAAAGTGTATTGAACATTTGTTACTGAAAACCTCAAAAATATAAATGAACTTCCCAATATTTATTTCCTAGTCCTAGGGGGAAAGGATAAGCTGTAACAGTTGACATCTTATGTTACACAGCCATGTTCCTTATGGCCACAAACAAAAGATCTTTAGTTCATGTGTAATTCCTCTCAGAGAGAATAGCTCAATTGTCACTCTGCGTCCTAATTCTCTCCTTACACCAATGGTTTAATCCACGGTAAGGGTGTATAGGTGCCCCTGAAAAATATCAGCTCCTCTTTTATTACCAGTAACTCTCCATTATCCATTGGGGAAAAAATTAATATCTCTTTCTGAACTAAGAACATATTTCATTATAATGTGTAGATTTTCCTTCCTCTGATTCTGGTGCCATCATCATCCCATTGTTTGCTGCCTTGACATCTACATATCACACTCTGACTTCTCTATTTTATTAAGAGAATATATTTCAACATGCCCCCCCCCTTTTTTTTTTTTTTAGCACACACTTTTTAAAATCCAGAATATTCTCTTTCCATTTGTCCACTGGCAACTTGTATTCATTTCAAGTCAAAAGAAACACACTACTCTTCTATGTAAGCCTTCACTGTCTCTCCAGCAGACTTAGGTGCCTCTTCCTAAGAGTTCTGAAAGACATTTTAATACAGTTTGAAGGGTAGACCAATCTGTTACTAAATATATTGTCTCTGTCTGTGACTTTATTGCCCAACTCTCATTTTATTTCCAAGACTTATAGTTCATAATTTGCTGAAATTCACCCAACCCTAGGTCATCCAAAAACCAAAGCCTTTATAACTCATGGTGGAACCAATGGCATCTATGAGGCGATCTACCATGGGATCCCTATGGTGGGCCTTCCTATGTTTGCGGATCAACCTGATAACATTGCTCACATGAAGACCAAGGGAGCAGCTGTCAGATTGGACTTCAACACTATTTCAAGTACAGATTTGCTCAATGCATTGAAGACTGTCATTAATGACCCTTTGTAAGTATCACCTATTTTTTATAGATAGTGTTTATACATAGATTAGTTTGTCAATAGTGCATCTTAATTTCATCCCAATTTTAAGAGGCTAATTTTGACATTATTAACATGAGTTAACCCATCCTAATCTGCTTTTATTTTCGACCACACATTTACTTCAAAGTTGCATATTAACCCCATGTATTTAATGGGGAGCCATCTAGTGCAACAATTTTCTCCTCCAATATTATAAAGTTATGTAGGTAATCATAAGGACACATTTTTTTAAAATATGATCAAATACATAGAAGGAAGAGTGATAAACTAGAATAAAAATAATAAATTCATTACCTAAATAAATTCAATATCTAAAATTTCTGAAACTATAAATATCTTTACACTCAAAAACTTATTTTACTGTAATCACTTAAACAGATTTTATGAAATATTATTTACATACCATGAAATTCACATGTTAAAATTATATAATTCATATATACATAGTATGCTTAAAAAGCTATGAAACTATCACCATAATTTAAACTTAAGGCATTTTTGTCATCCCAAAAAGACATATCATATGTCTTAGAAGTCACTTCCCATCTCCCTCACCCAAGCAACCATTGATCAACTTTCTGTCTCTATAGATTAGTCCTTCTGGACATTTCATAATAACAGAATCATATAATATATGATCTTTTGGAACTGGCTTCTTTCACATGGCATAATGTTTTTTTGTGTATATTGTTTAAATATATTTTTATTGATTTCAGAAAGGAAGGGAGAGGGAGAGAGAGATAGAAACATCCTATATAATAAAAGGCTAATATGCAAATCGACCAAACGGCGGAACAACCAGTCGCTATGATGTGCACTAACCACCAGGGACAGACACTCAACGCAGGAACTGCCCTCTGGTGGTCAGTGTGCTCCCCCTGTGGGCCAACCGTAAGGTTGGCGAGCACAGCGGCAGTGGTGGGAGCCTCTCCCACCTCCGCAGCAGCACTAAGGATGTCCAACAACAAGCTTAGGCCTGCTCCACGTGGGGAGCGGGCCTAAGCTAGCAGTCAGACATCCCCCAAGGGCTCCCAGACTGAGAGAGGGTGCAGGCCGGGTTGAGGGACCCTGCCCAACTGCACAAATTTTGTTCACTGGGCCTCTAGTCAATAATGAGAGAGAAACATTGATCAGCTGCTTCTTGCACACTCCACACTGGGCATCGAGCCAGCAACCCGGACATGTGCCCTGACTCAGAATCAAATGGTGACCTCCTGGTTCATGGGTCAAGGCTCAACCACTTAGCCATGCTGATCTGTCAATAAAAATATTTTTTAATTAAAAAAATATTACTTTGAATGGGAATGATTGGCTTAAGGAAATTAACTTTCTTTCAATGTTGATATCTTTGTGTTTCTCCTTTAGATATAAAGAGAACACTATGAAGTTATCAAGAATTCATCATGACCAGCCTATGAAACCACTAGATCGAACAGTCTTCTGGATCGAGTTTGTCATGCGTCACAAAGGAGCCAAACACCTGTGGCCAGCCGCCCTTGACCTCACCTGGGTCCAGTACCACTCTTTGGATGTGATTGGGTTCCTGCTGGCCTGTGTGGCAACTGCTACATTTGTCATCACAAAATGTGTTCTGTTTTGTTGCCGGAAGTTTTTAAAAACAGGAAAGAAGAAAAAAAGAGAGTAGTTGTTTCAGAGGCCTGAAGCTGATATGCCTTGTAGATGGGACTCCTCCACTTTATTCCACCAAGAAGTTGCGATGTAAGGGTCACTATCTCCTGTGATAACCTTACTTTTCACAATTTAGCTTCTCAGATCCAAATTTGTTTTCAAGTGACTACCTGGTTAAGAGTTATAAATATGTCATGCCAAACATAAAAACTTATAAAAAGTAAACCAAAAATAAAAGCCATATGAATATATTTTTAAATTTGTTATTCTAATTGCAAAGTTATACCAAAATATTAGCTAAATTATGTTTAAAACATTACACATGAACACAAGAACATTAAGTAGTCTATTCATATATTAATATTACTTTGCAAATATTTGCAAATACTCAGAATATTTTAATATTATTTTGGTGCAAAAATCTGTAGTTTTATCGTTTGCTAAACAAAACTATTCAAAGTTAGAATTGTACAAAATAATTCATCCTTCTATTTTATTTTGGGAGAACACCAATGCTCCTTTGTTTTATGGTACATCCAGCCTCAGCATCACTTCTTACCTACAGACATGGAAGTCATTTGCTTTCATCCAGTTTAAGTTAATTTATCATCAAAACTTAAATGGATTGAGAAATATAACAATAGCTAATTGCTTCCTATTGTACACTGAGCTATTTATGAAAGACTTTGGTTTCAGTAGCTAATTCTGTTTACCTCACAGCCCCCTAAAAAGATTCACTGGGTTTTTTCACTCTCCTTTTAGTCTTTGATAATGGGTATATGGTTCCAATTATAAGTTTGATAATGTAGAATTCATACTCTAAAGGGACTTATTGAATTTTCATTCTTTCCAAATATATGTGTACATATATATGCCCACTTCTTGTAAAACAAGGCACAGAATCACTTAGCTACTTTCATACACAGTGAACAATTCAATGTGTTTGTTGAAGGCAGTTGAAATAGTGATTATTTCATACTAGGGGCCTAGTGCACGAATTCCTGCACCTTGAAAGGAGCTGTGGGCTCCATGGCTGCAGTGGGCACAGAGGCGAGTCTTGGCCCATCCTCCATGCCCCAGCCTGGTCCCTCCAGCCGCAGCCCCCAGTCTGCTCTCTGCCAGTAGCCCCGCTCTCACCACCCTGCTTCCAAGTGCTGATAGCGTGGAGTGATCGGGGCCAGCGCCAGGTGCCACCAGCAGGTGTAAGTACCAGACAGGACCAGCACATGGGAGCAAAGAATTTTCAGTAACCACCAGAGGCTCACCCCAATGACAGCAACCAGTGCCCCGCCTTAGTCTTGTGCCCCCACTAAGCTTCTACACCATCCCGCAGTGGCCAACGCCCTTTTGATCTATTTGCATATTAACCTTTTATTATATAGGATAACTCATACTATATCAGTGTGTCATTACTTCTTTCTTTCCTCACAAGTCTGTTGTTCCATCCCTCCCATTAACCTTATATAAAAGCATTACAACCTTCAGCATGACAAAATAAATATACAATCATCTCTTTCTTTCATATCTAAGCACACTATGACTGACCATTATCAATAGCAATGCAAAGAAAACAAAAATCATGAAAATTTTATGGAAATAGGAAAATCAAGTCACAAGGATTCTCAAGGCTGTCCTAAAACATACACACCAGGATTGCAGGGGTCCAGATAAGAAAATCATTCCTGTCTTTATTGGTCAAGAAGACAATTGTCAGAGTCTCATAGTAAATATTGTCCAGCCTAAGGCATGAATTTATTTTAGAAAAAAATGAAAACTTCATTGCTGGGGGAATTACAGGGCACATTTCTCACTGAATTTCCATAGAACTCTTCTAGATATTTGAAATCACTTCAAAGGAAAAACAGAAATAACACATTGTCATTGTAGGTAATAATGTTAAATCATGCATATAAGCTGAATTTTCCTCAGATCTACTCGGTAACACGTATAACTGATAAAGGTTGGTAATCATTGTAGAGTGAGAAACCTTACAAAACACAAACAGAAAAAGACAAACATTCCGGGATGGAAATACATGGAGGATATGAACAGGCACTTCATAGAAGTAGAAATGGCCAATAACATATCAAGGATGGCAAAGGCCCTGATTTCAGGTAAAGGTAAACTGAGTCAGTAAATTGTTAGCCACGGAATATTTACCAAGCATAGGAATCTATGCGGGGAGAGGCCGCCTTGGCTGCCAGAAAGTACTCTCTTGAGGGCCCAAGCTGCCCGTGGGGGAGGAGGCGCTAAGTCCCTGGACACAGAGGTTGGCTACGGCCTTCCAATGCAGCAGGGGCCAGAGCAGCTACTTCCTGGGCCGCCTGGCGCCCAAGCCTCCAGGTCCCGAGGTGAGACTCCGTGCTCAGCAGGCTGTAATGCTTCTGAGCTGGGCAAGCACCCACAGCTGCAGCCAACAATGGCGTCCTTGCTAGTCCTTGGCTGCAGTGGGCTCCACTGCCCATTGTTCTGCACCTGGCAGCAGCCTGTGGAGGCTGCCTTGGCCTTGTGGACTACGACGCAGTAGAAAGCAGCTAATTGGTCCGCTAGGCACTGCGTGACCCAGCATGAGTCCTCCAGGCAAGGGTCTTAATAGCGGGGTGAGTAGGGATGGGGGGGTGCACCTCCCAGCACCTGCACCTGCGCCTGTTAGGTTCTGCCTGGAGCTCCTGCCCCACGCTCCCCGCTGACGTCAGCCACGCGTTCCAGACCCAGGTTGCTCCCTGGCCAGCTGCCTGTGGCTCAGACAACGTGCCCATTTGCTACCTGGTCAAGATGCCTCCCTCAGGGCTGGTGCTGGCCCACCAGCCTCTCGTGTTGGCCAGCGTCACATGTTTCAAGGGCCAAAACGCAATCTACCACTATGACACTGGGCCTTGCCATGGCTGGGTCTTCGCTCTGCTCCCTCCAGCTGCGCGGAAGGCAGGGTGCTGGGTCCTAACCGGGGTCCTGGCTGCCTGCAGAGGCCAAAAATGTTGAAGATCGCTGCAGGGCTGGGCCTCTCAGACAGTGGAGCTTATTGCCCTTGGATGCCTTCAGACTTGAAAAACTTGGAGCAAAGCCTTCCGTGGCTTCTCAGCCACCTTAAGCGGCACTTCCTGCAGTTGCTGAGCACAGGAGAGAAAGTGTTTGTCACCGACTAAACCACAATAAAGGATTTCTGGATTCTGGGTCACCCCACCCCTAGAGGCCTCAAGTGGAGGTGGGCATGTGTTGTGTGCCTCATGCCCTACACATCCCTTTGAAACGTTTGGAACTAAGAGATGCAGAGAGCACAAAACCCTTAGGACAGGCAATCCCAGAAAACTGTGAAGATACTGCTGTCTTTGTCAGCAGCCCAAGAGTTAGACTCTTTAACGGTCCAGCATGTTATGGGGCCTCCTGGCACATTAGCAGTGGCTGCCTGCAGTCTTCCCCGAGTGGCTCAGCCTCTGCAGAGAAGTTCCCTTCACCGCATCCATCACCTACCAAACTGAAGGCGTCTGCAGGACACGGAGCTACCTGCCATCCAGAGGGGATGAGTGGGTTTGGAGGCTTTTCACCTCTTTCCTTGTTCATCTCCCCCACCAAGGAAGGCAGGACCCATTCGGCCAAGGGC